GCATTTTTTTTCACTTTTTTTTTCACAGCGCTTGTAATGCCTACACACAATTGAACATCAAAACACACAGAAATTCATATATAACAGTCACGTAAAAAAAAAAATGTATCACTGTATACTCCAATCACCTCTCTAGACAAAACAAACTGATTCTGACCACTCTCTCTCTCTTTCTCTCTGTCACATACACACACTGTAACTCTCTCGTGCTTTTACTTCAATTAGTTCTCCCATCCTGCTATTGTTCCCACAATGCCTAGAGGTGGGGTTCTGTCCTGTTTTCAGCACTGACCCCTAAACTATTTCATTGTGACCCGTTATTAGAATGTGCACAAGTGACAAACTGTGATTTGCTGTGTGAGTAAGAGAGGTGTTTGTGTTTATTGGCTTCTTCAAGTCTAGCCACGTCTGGCCGGGTGGACTTTTGGAAAAAAATCTGCACAAACTGTGGTGGAAATGTCATTTTTCACATTTTTTCACATGATGTTTCCATTGGGTTACACTTTATTTCGATAGTCCACTTTAGACATTTTACTAACTATAAGTAACTTTGCAGCTACATGTCAAGTTACTCTTATTAGAGAATCTTTGGAGTATTAGACTGTTAGGGTTAGCGTTATGGTTAGAATAAGTTGACATACTTGCGATGTCTTTATATGCATAACAATGTCTTTTGGAGACCATCATAGTTGCCAAGTTAACTATAAAGAGCAAATGTCTAAAGTGGACAATGAAAATAAAGTGTTACCTTACATGGATTTTTATTTTTTTTTATTTTGTTTTGCTCTTCTTCACACATCACATTTAATATATCATATTTGAAAAGTTTTTACAATATGAATTCATTTTTTAAAAAATCAGTTTATTTAAAGGAATAATTCACCCAAAAAAATAAAAACTCTGTTATCATTTTCTCACCTTTGTTACGTTTCAAAGATTCATGACTTTCTTTTTTCTGCAAAAAACAAAAAAAAAGAATCTTGGTAACCAAACAATTTTGGTTACATTCATTGTATCGACACAAAACACTACGAATTTTCTCAAAATATCTTCTTTATTGTTCTACAAAAAAGAAAGTCATACAGGTTTGGAACGATATGTCTTTTTAAGAGTCATCTTCTTCATCGACTTCCATTCAAAGAAGTCTCCTTGTTCCAGGATGTAAGTGTGTGTGTGTGTGTGCCTGTTTTTCTATTCTGGTGGGGACTTAAACCTGAATACACACAGACTCATGGGGACTTGTGTCACAGTGGGGACCTAAATTGAGGTAAATTGACTAAAACAAGCTAATAAATCACACAGAATGAAGTTTAGTGAAAATCTAAAAATAAAGAAAGTTTCCTGTAAGGGGTAGGTTTAGGTGTAGGGTTGGTGTAGGGCGATAGAATATACGGTCTGTACAGTAGAAAAAGCATTACGCCTATGGAGAGTGCCCACAAGGATAGCAAACCAGACGTGTGTGTGTGTGTGTGTGTGTGTTTGCTTCAGGTACTCATTTATGAACAATAGTTGTGTTAGTAAGGATCAGTGTTGGTGGTAACGCATTACAAGTAACGCGAGTTACATGATGTGTGTGTGTGTGTGTGTGTGTGTGTGTGTGTGTGTGCATCGTGGTCGGGTCGGGGAGGGTAGGGTGTGGTTGCGGGCCTTGACCTTGTCCAGCAGACTCCCCCTCCCTGTCTGTCTCTCTCCTGCTCTTTAGCCTTCCTTTCAGATGGGAGATGTATGATGCCTAATCAGCAACAGGCAGAACTACCACAGGAAACACCTTCCATCTTAAGATACAGGAAAATAACATGTGTGAGTGTGAGAGAGGGAGAGATATCCTGTAATCGTCTGCACATCTGCCTCTCTTCTGAGTTTTAATATAAACCCATCATGAAGGTCTGAGTGCAGTCAAAGCACATCTGAAGAGTGCCTGTGTGTCCAAATGTGAGCATGAAAATGTGAAGAAGAAGTTGCTCATACACTCTTAAAAGAACAGTTCGCCCAAAAAATGAAAACTTGCTGCAATTTACTCACCCTCATGCCAACCGAGATGTAAATGAGTTTGTTTCTTCATTGGAACAGATTTGGAGAAATGTAGCATTACATCACTTGCTCATCAATGGATCCTCTGCAGTGAATGGGTGCCGTCAGAATGAGAGTCCAAACAGCTGATAAAAACATCACAATAATCCACAAGCAATCCACACCGCTCCAGTCCATCAATTGTTGTCTTGTGAAGCGAAAAGATTCATGTTTGTTCTAAACATATGTCTGTTGATATTTGATGTCAGAGGACAAGAGGGGATGGACTGGAGTGGTGTGGATTTCTTGTGGATTATTGTGATGTTTTTATCAGCTGTTTGGACTCTCATTCTGACGGCACCCATTCACTGCAGAGGATCCATTGGTGAGCAAGTGATGTAATGCAAAATTTCTCCAAATCTGTTCCAATGAAGAAACAACGACATCTTGGATGCCCTGAGGGTGAGAACATTTTTCAAGCAAATTTTCAGTCTTTGGTGAACTACAGTATTCCTTTAAGGAGAATGGTTCTTCAATGGTTCTCAGCAAAAAAAAAGTCTTGTCTTCTTGAGCTGATCTGTGACTCTTTGAAGATCGAAAATGTTCTTGATGATGCATTCTATATTTTAAAGATCAGAACATCTTTAAAAAAAAATACAATAAAAACACACATAGATCTCATTTATTTCTCCTAAGCAGCATGCAACTGGAGGTTTTTTACTGAAGTCTCTTGCTTTCTTAGATTTTTTTCCTAAGACCTCAGTAATCTCACATATCATCTAGAGTTTCAGAACGTCTCACACTGTGCTCAGACCTGTACAAAACTCTGCAATCGAACATCAGATATTTCAGTCTGAACTCAGATTTTTTTTTCAATAATCTGGACTCTATATGCATTATTTTCAGCACAGTATTTTTAATAAAGCAAAAATATAGTCTCATTAACAATTGTCTTATATGTTGTTGGATTTTTTTTTCTCATAAGCAGAAAAGTACTATACAAAGTTGATGTGTCAATGAAAGGGCAATCTCTGAGCAAGTTGAAGAGCAAGGTGAAGCAGAAGCAGAGGATGCGAGTTTCAGCAAGTCTGTTCTTGTTGTTTGCTGAGAGCTTCTTTAAGAGCTCGGGTCAGTTCTTCTTTCACTCACCTGTCACAGGGAATCTTTTACATCCATCAGTAAAGTCTTTTTATCACATTCTTTGTCTCCTTCCCTCTGTCTTTTGATTTTTTGAGACCACCAGGCCTAGTCATGGACCATTAAATGCTTACTTGGATTACAGGACATAAAGCACAGAGTAGCACACAAATCCACACAGAAACAAATGCACAAACGATGGTCAATGGGAAATGATGTTGTTTGTCACCCCTTTGTGAAGCCATGCTTGGGACTTTCCAATTACTTCAGGGGTTTTTTCAATCTCCTAAAACTACACATAACCCTGACAGAAAATGTTCTATACATCTTCATTAAAACATTATTTAGTATGTTTATTAAGCCCTTTTTTCCTCATACACTCTCAGAAAAAAAGTACAAAAGCAGTCACTGGGGCATTACCTTTTCAAAAGGTACACTTTTGTACCTAAATGGTCCCTTTTGGTACCTTGAAGGTACATATTAGTACCTAAGAGGTACAACGTGTTTCTTTTAAAAGGTACCACATCAGTGACAGATTTTGTACCTTTTTATGGATCGTTGCTTGATCTCCACAAAAGTAGGTGATTAATTCACACACATATACAATTGCATTCAAAAGTTTGGGGTCAGTAAGATTTTTCTTTTTTTTTTAATAAGAAATTAATACTTTTATTGAGCAAGAACATGATAAAATGATCAAAAGTGACAATGAAGACATTTATAATGTACAAAAGATTTTTGATTCAAATAACAGCTGTTTTTTATTTGTTCTTTTCTATTTATCAAAGAATCCTGAAAAAGAATGGTTTCCATAAAAAAAATACAAATTAAGCAGCACAACTGTTTTCAACATTGATGTTTATTGAGCAGCAAAACAGCATATTAAAATAATTACTGAAGGACCATGTGACACTGAAGACTTAAAGATACTGAAAAAAAAAATCCTTTTAATTTTAAATATATTAAAATAGAAAACATTTATTTTACATAAACTTAATCATTTTTTTTACATCATTACTGTTTTTGATCAAATGATTTTGAACAAATAAATGCAAGCTTGGTGAGAATAAGAGACTTTTGTCCAAAACATTAACAAATCTTACTAACCTCAAACTTTTGAATGACAGTGTACAGCAGATCTCAAGATTTCAGAAGCTTAAACACACTTTAAAGTATGTATTTTGTAATTATATGATCAAATATCAAATCACAAAGAGAGGTTTGTTTGGTTTGTAGGTGTCCCAAAAGTGCCCAAGTCTGGACACTGTATACATTATTTAGTGAAACACCCAGCTAAGAAATAATCTGTTTATAATCAAACAAAAAAGGCTTACAGAGGTCTCTGTGTGTGTGTTGATGGGTGTACTGCAGCTGTCAGCATTTAGAAGATGGAGGTCAGCTGCTTGGCTGTGTGTGTGTGTGTGTGTGTGTGTGTGTGTGTCTGTGTGTGTGTGGACCCCTTTCCTTTTTCCTTCCCTGACTTCATATCAGCATTTCTGGGGACATTTCTTCAGTTTGTTAACTCTGTCTTTTAGTGACCCTGAGCTCTAATGCTAATACCGACTGGAGGTCTGCGAGTGTCTAAAGAAAGTAGCCAGAGCAAATATTTTCCCACAGCAACCAGTGCTGCTTGTTATTTGTGTGCATTATGAGAGACACACACATGGCTTTGACACTGGCTTTGAGCCCATGTGCCATCGTTAAAGGGCAGTTTGTCAGTGCTCACCAGCAGCAGGCAGACGTAAACATGAAGGTCTGTCTAAAGTGCTCCAAAAGAGTAACCTCTGTCTGTTTTAGAGCACCAAAGAGTCCAATAATAGCCTGTTACACACCATAAACTTGGCCTTTTGGAGTGTGTTTGTGTCAGTGGTCCCAAAAAGTATTTAGTCACTTAAGACATTCTTAAAATATATGAATGTCATTGCTTTAAATAATAACATATAAACCAACTATTTATTTGTACTTTAAGCAAAACATTGGCACATATGAAGTCACACATGACATTTTTTCAACCAAATTTGAATGTTGAAGGTCATCAGACGCCAGTTGGAAGGATATTAATCACTTTCTGACATAGTACCAACTGTAGGTAAAAAATAATAATAATAATAATAAAGTTGCAATTATGACAAATAAAGTAGCATTTTGTGAGATAAAGTTGCAATTACCTGAGGCGGGATTGAGATTCCTTACATGCATACTTTTTTAAATGTGCATCCAAATACTTCTCTGCCCTATGTATGTGTATTTTTTTCCTTTTCCACATCCCATTGGTTTGGTATGATAATAGCCATAACCTTTTAGCCTGTAATGACAGTGTGTGTATGTGTGTGTGTGTGTGTGTGTGCTATAATCATCTATAAATAATGAAGGTAATATTAGAATCAGCTGCTGAGACGGAAATGCTGAAGAACTCTGTCGTCCCTTGTGAAAAAGAAATGCGCTTAATAGTATAAAAATGTGTACTAGTAGTGTACAACAAATCTTAAAAGTATATTTGAATATAATATAATATAATATAATATAATATAATATAAAAGGCCACTTAAGTGTAATAAAAAAGAGTGACTTTGTTTCTTAAGATACCTAAATACACTTTGGCGCACTTTGTAATAAAGTTAAAAAAAAAAATCCTAGGTGCTTGATTTGACAGTACATTTTAACAATATTTCAAAGACAATGAAATATATTTATAAAAATATAAATATGTAAGTCTTACTTAAGTGGGTCAAAAAAGCATTCTAAAAATTACATTTAATATACATTTAAACTATAATACATTAACAGTGCACACAAGTATATTCTTTTAAAGTAAATTATTTCTGTAATAAGCACTCTTTTCAAAAGTATGCTAAAGTATGCTTCAATTTCACAAGGGCTGTTTATGGCCTTCAACTGCTAAAGAAGGAGAGAGCAAGACAAGGAAGAGAAAGAAAGAGAGGATTGAGTAGACTGGCGATTTTCTGAGAAGGAAAAGACCAGAGTGGAAGGAAAGTGATTTGTGCCAGTTCTTGATTGGTTCTGGCTGCAGCGCTTGATTAAAAGACTAACATGACGATAAGGAAGTTTAGAGTGAACATACACAAGCACGCGAGCACATGTACACATAAACACAGCTACCGGCTCTCAGTGTCTGCATGGTCTTACAGATTGTTTGTTGTGCTTTACTGACTGCCCACAGAGCGCTAAGAACTCCAGGATACACACACACACACACACACACACGTGCAAAGAGACCCCCACAGAGCGCTAAGAACTCCAGGATACACACACACACACACACACACACGTGCAAAGAGACGACGCACTGCCAATAATTCACATGCTAGCACGCGTCTGTTAACAATAAGAGCAGAAGCCATTGTACTCAACAACAGGATGATGATTGTGCCTCTTACGGGAGCAAAACAGACGGTCATCAGAACTACAACAATGAGGCCTTTAACAAAACATGCTCATTAATCATAGGACAGACAAGCCATAAATAATATCGTATTCTCATACAGGATTGAGATTAAATTTCAGATTATTGAGTACAGGGATAATTCATCCTAAAATGGAAATTCTGTCATCATTTACTCATCATTTACCCACAAGTAAATCTTGCATTACTTTGTTTCTTCTGTTTTTCATCCATACAAGGAAACAATGACAGACCAAAAATAAATAAATAAATAAAAATTTTAAGAAGAGACATTTTAAGAAAAATCTTCTTTTGTGTATTTCGCAGAAGAAATAATGTCATTCAGGGGTGCGTTTCCAAAAAGCAACTATGGTCACAAGTTCCGTCGTTACCAATAGAGTTCAATGGAACTAACGACTTTAGTTGGCTAACGATGCTTTTAGGAAACGCAGCCCAGGTTGGGATCAACAGTGTGAGAAATTATGATAGAATTATGCTTATTTTTGGCTAAACTATTCTTTTAATTAATTTGAAAAAAGGCAACTTCCCCCCAGGCTCACAAATACACTAATATATGGAAGCATGTTTTTGCCACAGGACTTAAAAAATTAAAAAAAGAAGGGAAAAAAAGAAAGATGTTATCTCATAATTCTCAGAATTGCAAGAAACAAATTCAGAATTACAAGAACTGAGAGATATAGACCAGCAATTCTTACTTTTTTCTCACAAATCTGAGTTTACATTTGCCAAGGAATAAAAATGTAAAAAAAAAAAAAGGTAATTGTGACTATATCTCACAATTCTGACTTTTTTTTTCTAAATTGTGAGATATAAACTCAGAATTGATAGAATAAAAGTCAGAACTGTGAGATAAAAAGTCGAAAACTACCCTTTTTTATCCCATGGTTGAAACGGCTTCCATACTTTTGCTCTTTCTTTCATCTCTCCATCCATTCAGTCTGGATCATTTGGTCCATTTGGAGTGCAAGAGTTTGTCTTTAACATTCAGTGCGGTTTACAGCTACAGTAAAATCTCTGGAATAGAAACACAGCTATCTGGTGAAACAGGGTATGCGATGTTTAAAATCCACCTGTCACTCAAACTGTGACACCTCTGCTTCTCAGCGGGACGCCACTATGGGGGTCTAACAAAGCACATACTCACAAGGACAGAATTAGTTTAAAAGTGGCTGCTCAATAACAGCCACATTTGGGTCACTGTAAACCATATGGCAAAAGAGGTTTTGACAGAGTGTAAAAACAATCTAGGCCCTTAACAGAAACAGCCCTTCAGGGGCTCATGAATAGCACACACATACATATTTAGAACATTTTCGGTGGGAACACAGTCCAAAGTTATGAAGCACCTCTCTCTCCAGGGAAATCTTGTCTGGCACGTCAGAAATCTAATCTACAAATACAATGGAACGTTCTTGTTATTCTGTTTGAATAAGGGCAGTATATTTCTGCTTAGCATTCTAATGAATGCATAATTTATATTTTTTGAGGTGGTATATTTGTACCTATTAGGCTGAAATAATTGTATCCTGACATTTTATGATTCATTCCTCATTTTTCCTAATGTTCGTATTTCATTGACAGCGAGTCATGAGAAACAAATATATTAGGGTTTTCTTCAGAATACAGGGCCATTTGGGTGCTATGTGAGCCTATGCAAAATACTAATATAACATTTAATTAGACACTGTCACATTATTTGAAATGAATATTAGCCATTGGTGAACTGCTCCCTTTCATCACTGTTACACTATTCATTATATTTAATTTAAAAAAAAATCTGACTTAAAATTTCTTTTATTGAAAGTATTTTGTACTTTTACTTTTTAATATTGTATTTATCTGTAATTATTTGGGCATTTTCTATGAAAATCACTAAAAAAAATGGTGGAGGATTTTGAAGCAATTTTCGCTCCTAAATTTCTACTACATTTCACTCATAATTACAAAGAAACTACAAGTAACACATTGAATTAAACATGACCTTTTTAAACAGAATAACAGAAATAGTATTTTCTTTGTAAAACACACTCCCGTAATATTTGTTTTATTTACAACATATTATTTTTCTTATTTTGTCACACACTTTCGCTGGAACATCACAAGGCCTGCAAACAAACAAAAAAATAAGGAAAGATATGGATGGCATTAGCGATTTCCAGCATAATCCATGTGTTTTGGTGAGATCTGAATCCCTTGTTTTGACCACATCGCATTTGTGGTGAAAATGCTACTTGCACCTGAATGGCCTACTTGTGAACGGATGACCAAAATGCATTTTAATACCAGGTGGATGATAACATTTTGTAGATAAAATACGCAGCGCAAAGCAAATTAATATTCATGTAATACAGTTTGGTATTTGCTATAGTAGTTAGCCATTTTGGACCATCTGACCTGCTGCACTCAGTCTATACATTCTATCAGGTTTGACACAAAGAAATGTTTTGGAAGAAGAATGTCATTGGTTAGTAATATTTTTCAACACTTTTAGTTTGTGATTTATTACAAGGCACACAAAATGATAAGCTATGACTTATAAGCATATGACTAAACTTACTGTGACAAGGTTGACGTACTGTACAGCGCAAAACCCATATATGCTCTCAACTAATTTGAATACTATATGGGATGCATATGGTGAGAGATTTTGGGTCTGAGGTAACATATGATTTCTTAAAGGTTTAGCATTAAATCATTTGAACGAAATGATTAAAAATACGTACAGTAATTATCTCTAAACTTTCAGCAAAAATACACCATTTCCTGAGAATGACACATTTGTGATATATTTTATGACACTGAACATTATAACAAGCAATAACTCTAACTTAACATGATGACTAGCTCTTTTGCTTGTGAAAACTGGTCTGAATTAGTTCTCTGTTTACTCTTGTACTGTGCTCCGTCTTTCTTTTCACGCAATCTGTCCAGTGGGTAAAACCGATTTGTGTGTGTGTGTGTGTGTCTTAGGTAAAGCCGTGGAGAAGCTTTTGTTTTCTGCAGGATTTGGGTCCAGATGTGTCCAAATTCCTCTCAGGCCCCCAGGAAAGAGGTAACCAGATAGGTGGTAAGCTTTATCCTCGTGTTTTAAATGTGCAGTGGTGTGAATGCACATTGTGTGTGTGTGTGTATCTGTGTGTGATTTATGTGTTTCATTCTTCTCTAATCCTGCTCATTATCCATTCCTGCCTCTCATCACCTTTAACTTCTACCTCTGTTTTTCCTTCTCTCCTTGTTTTTCCTTCCCATGTTTTCCCGCCCTTTTCCTCCCTCTCCCTCCTTCCCACCATCACCAGCTCTTCCTGATCCACAGCCCAAGGGCTCCACATAAATGCTGGTTATACAAATAATGATTAAAGAAGGCACTTCCTGTTAATTCAGAGATGTGCTGCTTAGCAACATCGGAAGATTGAAATACAGCGGCACCAGCTTGTCTTTTGGTTCTCAAGACCTTTAACACTCAGTCTGTTTGGGGTCTGAGAGACCTCAAGGCTGTTTTAATAGCTTGAACGTTGTACTTAACATAACCATCAGGTTGAGACTTATGATATAACTATAAAAAAAACATCCAAATGAAAAATGACATTTCACATGAAAATGACAAATTAAAGGGTTAAAACTTAAAGAATGTTGGTAACTGAACAGTTTTGGTTCCCATTGACTTCCATTGTATATACAAAATACAAAATATATTCATAACAGTACACAACAGTGAGGGATAGTGCACTCATTTTTGGGTGGACTATCCCTTTAAATGAACTTGAAGAAAACAAAAAAGATTAATTTCAAAGTTATTATACTGCTTTTATTTATACATGTATATTAATGGAGTCTCTTGAACCCCAAAAACAGAAACATTAAAGTTAATCTCAATAGAACATCTTGTGTGTGTGTGTGTGTGTGTGTGTGTGTGTGTGCGCGCATTTTTGTGACAAGTGAGCACATATATTTGTATAATGACAAGGGTATGACATAGGTATTACAAGGAGAAGGTGACTTTTCAGGACATTACCCCATGTCCCCACTTTTCAAAACGCATATAAATCACACAGAATGGAGTGTATTGAAAATCTGAAATAGCACAAAGTTTCCTGTAAGGGGTAGGTTTAGGGTTAGGGTTGGTGTAGGACAATAGCACATACAGTTTGTACAGTATAAAAACCATTACGCCTATGGGATGTCCCCACTTTTCACAAAAACAAACCTGTGTGTGTGTGTGTGTGTGGTGGGATACAAGTGGGCGTTTGTGATTTTAACCTTGCAGTGCACATATGAGTTTGGACCAAAGACAACACTATGT